ATATACACACACACACACACACACACACACACATACATACATACATACATACGCACGCACACAGAGATGCTATTTTGGAATATGATATTCTAAACATATTAAAAACAGTTGCAGGAATTGGGTATCTCTAGTTGAATGAAAAAAAGGGCTAGGAATGCATGAAGAGGGGGTCGATCTATTCTCCAAAGCACCTAAGGCAGGACAAGAAGCAGTGGATGGAAACTAATAAGGAGAGAACCAACCAAAACTAAGGAGAAATTTCCTAACAGTTTGAGCAATTAATCAGTTCCCTCCAGAAGTTGTGGGTGCTCCAACACTGGTGATTTTTAAGAAAACATTGGACAACTATTTGTCTGAAATGGTGTAGGGTTTCCTGCTTGAGCAGGAGGTTGGACTAGAAGATCTCCAAGGTCCCATCCCAACTCTGTTATTCTGAATTCTCCAGCCAGGCATGCTAGCGGGGTAATTCTGAGAGTTGCAGTCGTGACTTCTAAAAGTTGCTAAGGTTGAGAAACACTGGTTTAAAAGAATTCACTATCAAAGTTTAAATTTGAAAAATGAATGAATGAATGAATAAATAAATAATGTTAGATGTAATAGATAAGCCTAAAGATTTATGAAATCTGCTTAAGTATACAGAGTTCTTGAAACTTTTTATTGTTGAAATGAAGAAGGGTTAAATGTATCACATTTTGAACAGGTTTTCCTTTGCACATACATATTATGGTATCTTCCCCAGGAAAATATTCAGTAAATTTTAATCTAACTGTGGCTATAAATCTACGATAGACATAAATACTGAATATGGACTAATAAAATGGGCATCCCAGCAAGTGATGTATAAGTAACATATTTTGATTAGCTTTAATGTTAGTAAGAATAATTAAGATTATATTAAGTAAAAGTGTCTGAACAAAACTGATTACAAGAAAGAGTAGATAAGATATCCCTCAGATTGAATGTGATTCCTGGAGACTATACGGGTATATTCATGTTTCTTGGTAACAAGGCTAAAGTGGTTGATCATTTAAAAAAAAAAGGTTTCTAGTTTACAGCCCTATGATTCCTTTGTCGTCACCCAGTCCAAATATGATTTAGATCCAATTCTCTTGTTTTTGAGCTTAGTTAAGGCTACTGAGATGCTGCCACTTGCTTTGACTCAAGAGAATGAAATCACATATAGTGATTTCACTTATAAAGGTTTCAGAAAAAATGAGGTGCAACAGTTTAGCCTGGACCAAACCCAGAATAAAGAGACTATAACTATAAATCATTTAGGCTTCAAAGGATTAGTGCTGTTTCTTAAAGTATTTTTTATTTATGGTGGTATTATGGAGGAACCCCCTGTGATATCAAAGTCCTAGTTTTGATTAAGATTGTTAATCTGTCTCTTGCATTGTACTGTTTTAAATTGTAGAAGGCCGGAAGAATCTCACACAGCTAACTGTACTTCAGTACAAAAGGCTGCCTTTTTATAGAAAACTACCTGAAAGGCTATTTTTCTTTGTGCAGAGAAAGTTTTTATTCATAAAGCATCATCAAAGTCCTGATTTTACTGAGAATAAATCTTTTTTTCTGGGAGAGGTACAAGTGCCCAGTTGTAGAACAGTCTATATTCTGTCTGAAGGCAAACCTACCCTCAGAAGCTTCTTGACTGATAACAAGTATTTGAAGAGTTATGTGGGGTCCTTTATTTGCAGTATCATAATGTTTAAATACTTGTTTCTGAGAAAATTTATGAATAAGATCTATGAACTCTTCTTTATATTTTTAATAATTACTTCAAGCAGGAACATGTTTAGAGGTCATCTTGAGACTGTTGTTCCCAAATACTCTGTTGACATACCCTCGCTAAATAATTTTGCTGGAGACATATTCTCTATTGGCTCCTTGTTCACTTCCAAGACCAAGACAAAATAATTTTGAAATCTTAAGTCTCTTGAGTCTTGATAGACTGAAGGACAACTTTCTCTTGTTGAGAACTCATCACTAATTGGGTGATTTTGACTCCCCTGGGAAGCTTAATTGATTTAACAAAAATTCTGGTGAAATTTTTATCAGATAATTCAATTGCTTTTATTTTTATCAAATTCTTTGGATTCTTCTGTAAACTGAGTTGATGCACACTTCTCAATTTATTTACAGCTTGGAATATTTCAGTTATTCAGTTTTTTAATTTTATAAATTTGCAATGTAGTACTTTATTTAAAAATCTGTAAAATGTAATAATACCTCATTAGTCTTTTTTAAAAAAAAGTTACATATAACTCAAAACTATTCCTGAACACATGAAAAATACATGTGACCAGGAGTATGTTGAATCATCTATCTTAATTTTATTGTCCTTGTCCCCTAATTAGTAGAATTTGATGTTCATTTGTTGTCTCTTACTTTGCTGCTTAAATAAAAGAAGTCAGACAGAGGAAGAACATAAATTCATCTCTCTCTTAGAGGTCTATTGAAATAGCCAAGTTTTGACTGCTTTCCTAAATCCCAATAATGTTGCTACAAGTTTAATCTCCAGGGGAATGCTATTTTAGAGATGGAAGTGGGAACAATGATGGGGAAATATTCATTATTTTAAGTACAGTAATATTCATTAAATATTATGGTGTATAGATATACGCCTTACTATAAATATACAGTATATAACTTATTAATTAATTGTGAGAAAAAACTCTGTTACTTTCTAGACAAACAGTATGTCATAACAAAGCTGGATATATTATTGCATACTTAGGTTTATTTGTTAATGTGGTATTTTGGAATATTTCACCACATGCTATAACTTGCAATATTTTCACAAAGTGAAAATGATATGGAATAGGGATGGAAGCCTGTGACAACAGATATTGTTGAATTGTAACTTCCAGCCCTTCTGCCTCCCAACAAGTCTATGATGAGGATAGTGAGAGTTATAGATCAACAAACATTTAGACACTCACAAGTTCCTCACTCTCTGATGTAGGATCAAGAGCTGTTAAGCAAGTTATGCTTCTCTGTTCAATCAGCCAAAGCTTTGTAAATCTGTATATTTCACCTGATGAACTTTGAAATAATCAGGAAAAAGACTAATAATATTTACTCTGATTATTCATAGTTGTGGCACAAGATGCAGTCCTGTGTCTTTTGCTAGTTTCTACTGCCCTGGCATAGTGTAATAGTGATGTCTCTCCATAGATTCTCTTTAAAAGGTAGAATACTGTACTGGATTAGAGCACCACTATTTGAATTCCTGACAAGGATGGTAGTATAATAATACTCTACGGCCAGAGTCACTTGTTGAGATAGACGGCTATAGAAATCAAACAAATAAAATGTTACTTTCCTGACACCAGTGCAGAGATTTGCTGTTCCTTTTTGAATTTTGAATTGCTATAATTTCCTGGTAGTCTCCAGGTACCACTCAAGCCAGACCCTTTTAAATGTTATCAGCTAAGGTTGGCTTAGTGCTGTCATCTGATCAACCTCCTCCATATGTGATAGGAATAAGAAAATGTATATTCATGTATATAGGAATGGAAAATGCATGACTTATTTGTCACTCTGCATATTTTTCCCCTCCCAAACAACCATTGTCCAAAATACGGATGGGAAAACATAAGCTTTACTTAAGAAGAGATAGGCATATTTTAGAGTTTCTGGAGGTAATTGCAGTTATGCATCCAAATGTAGGTAGCAAACCAGTATGAATCATCGTCCTGGGAAATTGGGGAGTGATTCTGCTTCAGCTTTCCCCAATCTGGTATTCCTCAGCGTACCTGAAGATCAGCAGTTGGGGAACATTGGATTATGTCAGGATCTCTTATCATATTGGATCTTCTTGTGTCAAAAAAAAAAGTGGGGGGGCATGAAGCCAGTAAGGTCACCAAAAGAAATGATGCTTCTGTTACTTTTCATTTGTAACAAGCAAGGAACTTTTCTATTGGAACCAAGTATTGCTTTGCAAAGACACACAATTTTCCATGATAGATTGATTAGAATATACGAAAAGAGGCCAGATCTATATGCTTTGCTTATCCCTATCAAGACTATACAGAATGGAAAGGTTGTTAGGAAAGACCTTGCCCCTAGTTACGTTAACACACAATATATATACCAGCCCAGTTATAACCCTCTTCAAAACAACTGCTTCTGCTTTTGTTTTTGATAAATGATTAGACAGAAAAGTACCAGTAATTTTTCAGGATTTTAAATGAATTTTCAATTGAAAAGACCTTTTGAATCTTTCAAAAGACTACATATTTAAAAAGCACAGCTTGATTTCTTCCTTTTAGATACAGTATAGGACAGTAGTCCTCAACTTATGACCACAATGGAGCCTAATATTTCTGTTGCTAAACGAGACAGTTATTAAGTAGGTTTTGTACTTTTCTTGCCACAGTTAAGTGAATCTGGCTTCCTCATTGACGTTACTTGTCAGAAGGTTGCAAAAGACCCTGGGACACTGAAACC